AGGCTGTCATTTTAAAAAACAAATGCACAAGATGCTTTTAAGCAATAAAGGCAGAACGGTGCTGGCATATGTTACATAAGATTGTGCATATGGCTTACATCAAGGACAATGCCTATTCATGAGCTGTTTGTATGGCCCTCTCTAAGTGTCGACATAGATTTGCCCCTCTGTATTAGCAATAAGCCATACTCTGACAGATGGAGGTACGAGGCGCCAACTTCACACGGGAAATAAAGCAGATGGACCTACGAAGGGGAGCACCTGCTTTTGGCAACGCACCTTCAAAGATCTCATTGGGATTTAGACTGAAACACCCACTAGGGACTTTTGTCTTAGTGTGTGTACACAGGGTTGCACAATTAATTGAATTTTAATCAGATCCTCATTTCATGTTGTCAATGATCAGCTTGGGTTTTGTGCTGGGTCTGTTGTTGCATCTTGTTTGGAACAGAGTTCAGAACATTTTTGTGTGTGCAGTGGCACCTGACCTGAAATATTTCACTTGTTTGTTTGTTTATTTATTTATTTTTTTAGGTTTATATAAAAAGTCTGTCTTATCTTTGTTCAAGCTACAATCTGTAACAATCGCAAGAAAAAACATGAAACATTTTGTTTGTTTGTTTGTTTGTTTGTTTTTTGTTCAGTCAAATATGATGGGGTTATGTATAAATGCACAAATTTTACTTTGAAAACAGGTTCATGTTCTACATTTTGAAAATGTAATCTGTGAACCATGACAAGGGTCACATATCTTTGTCTATCGTTGGTGTGCCTTTGGCAAAACAGTTCTCTGTTATTAGTGAGGGTGGTGGGGCCAAAGGCATGGATTGGCAGCAACTTTGTAGGTTTTGTCCCAGGGCAGCTGTGGCTAGAAAGTAGAAATCACCAGTGGCTTTGAGTGCCTACAGAAGCACTAGTTATATAACATATATAAGTAGTGTGTATATAGAGCTATATAACTGCTATATTTAGATAACACAAAGCTCGATGTGTTGCACATGGGGATGAATGACAAAAGTGATATTAAAGAGCACTTCTGTTGTTGTTGTGTTGTTGTTTTTGTGTCATTGTGTTGTTGTCATGTTGTTCTTGTGTTGTTGTTGTCGTGTTGTTCTTGTGTTGTTGTTGTCGTGTTGTTGTGTCGTTGTCGTTGCCGTGGCGCTCTGTGCATATCAGATCAGCTGGCGTCTGATTGGCTGTGATTGTTCACTGTAATCAGCTGTAATTATCTCCAGGTGTTGACATTTTGGGAGCGTCCAAAAGAAGTTTGTGAGAGTCGTGTGACGACTTTGACAAACTCCAGCAACTCACACTGTTTCTGATCGAGCAGCTTAACCTCGGAGATTTAGTTTGGAGATTAAACAGTTTAACTGAAAAAGACTGGAAAACATACAGAGTAGTGAACTTCTTTTTTTTTTTTTTTACAAATTAAGTGAATCGAAGTAGTGCTGGAAGCTGGACAATGATGAAGTGAGGTCAGGAGTTTTCACAGCAGGAGTGTGCAGACTCATTTTGGAACATAAACAAAGTGGAGACCACAGACTGGTGGGGATGTATTTGTATATGTCTTATTATAACAGAACATTTAAGTAAGAAACTTTTACATCATGTTTGTTATCACCAATGTAATTGAGGTTCAGATGACTCAGCATTTTCTTAATATTTGGACTAAAGTAAAGTAAATTGTTAAGTAAAGTAACAATTTTTGACAATTGAACAGGAAGCAAACCATAGTGTTAACATTCATGGTCCAGAGCCTACCTAAACTGCAGTTCTTGTTTTGTGTTGACAATGTTCAGTATTTGAAAACCAGGTAAAATCTTCAAGTGAGCGAGCTGAGCTGGTCAGAAGATTACCAGTGATCATGGTGGCTGCTGGTTCAGATCAACAGACCTGTGTCAGAGTGCATCTGATCTCACAAAGGTATTATCGTCATTATGTGGGTCTTAGAGAATTACTGCATAGCTGGCACTGTGTTTTATAATGAAGCAAATAAGAATTAATTGCACACAATCGAATATTGTGCAACACGAGCACTGTTTTCTCAGCTAAAACCCCTCTCCATAAACACATTACCTGCCATAATCCCAGTGTTTAAACTTGTGTTGTTGGAAACTCCACTGTGGCCAACAGTACACTGGACTGAAAGAAGTCACCTGGGTATTGTTTCATCTACTTTAATTTGGTGCAGCCAAAATGTCTGCCGATACACAATTTAGGGCAATTATGTTTGGAGTGGCTGATGAGCTCCTCCATCTGTGAGCCCACTGCTAATGTGCCCAAAACACCAGCATCCCGCCAAACACACCAGGCCTAATACTGAGTCAGACCATCGTGAGCTCATCTCTCCTGGTGCTGTTTTCATTTAAAAGCTGTCATTCGGACACACACCTCTGTCGTGTGAACATAACAGCAATTCAGAAAATGTTTTTCTAATCCAAACAAAATGTATGATTAGCCATAAACATTATGGCATTGTTTGTCAAATATTACAACATATTTGGCAACTAAGTAGGTTTAGTATATTTTAGTGTTTTGTAGATAATGCATGATGACATCAACTCATCTAGTTGGTTGTTGGTCAAGGACACATTATTACAACTAAAATCGTTTGAAAGGTGTTCATGAGAACCCATCCAAAATCATATTAAATCAAACAAAGAAGTTAAATTAACTTATTTATTCTTAGAAATTTGTACCACTTAAAACACGAATCATCTTACACAATTGCAAAATGCAGGTGTATTGACAATAAAGTAATCTTCTGAACAATAAAAGCATGTGTTACACTTTTTCTTTTATTTTCCATTCAAGTTGGATGGAAACTAAAAGGTCAAAGTAAAATACTGCATATTACTGGTCAACGTAAAATGTCCATTGCCACAATTCAAAATAATACACCAGGCAAAAACAATATTTTTACATTTACTGTTGATGTTGGATGTGTACTATGAACCTTTTTTACTTTGGTTCAAAGTAGTTCACGCTATGATTCTGTGTAACCTCAACTTTTCACAAATGTTTGAGTTTTCATCATGTAATCCAATAATTACAACCGTTGATTTGTTTTTTCAGTTGGTGCTAAAGATACAGGCTATACATTATTTTAGTCTGTGTAATCAATGTTTTCACTTTCGAGGGTTTTTGACAGAAACAGCTGAGCTCTAGTCACTTTGCAGTTTTTCTAATTGAAATGTACGGCTCAGTCTGGTGGGAGAGTGTCATTAGCAGAGCACATCATGCTAATGCATTTTAAAAGGGGTTTCGGCTTAAGGGATAATTAATATTCCCCCCAAAAAATTGCTGAATATCTGCTCCATCACACCAGCTGTCATCTTGTTTACTCCAGATAACGTCTGTTGGGCTTTTTGTAAACAAAACTGAAAAACAGTGCCACTCAGAGGGAGGGCCGAGCATTTAGAATTAATTGGATTGAAGTGGATGGACTTAGCACGTGTGAGCTCACTGTGTTTGGGTAGTAAAATGGATCAATAAGATCTATTGTGAGCTGTGATAAATAGATTAGGCCAGGAAGAAAGCCTATTGGAATGATAAGAGTCAAGGTAGCTATAGAATTGGACCCATCTTACTTAAGACTGTAAGTGCCCAAGCCAAACACTTCTTCACATACAGGGTTAAAAATAATTATCCAATGACCAAGAAAACCCCCTATTTTACATCCCTGACATATTAATGAACTGCTTTGTTTGTAAAATGTGCTATAGAAATAAAGTGGATATGGAAAATTCATTGATTGATTAATTCATGTAATAATATGTTTTTGTATATTGGTATTAAATTGATTGTTGCATAGTCAAATATTATTATGATAAACTTATTACTACTTCTACCGTTTAATGTAAAGTATGCTTGAATAACAGCATTTTCCCCAACCAAAGAAACTGAAAATATTGACATTAGTTTTAACATAACAACACAAATCACATTTTGATTAAAACATGAATGAAGTAGTTTAATTTAACTTTTTAAAAGATGGCATTATTCAGTTGTCACAGAAATGACCATGATACAATAGTCCATCAGTCATCATATTATGTAAGCTATCTACAGATCAAAACACTATTATTCAGTATGAATAAACCCTGATATTCCATGGAGCAGCTGAGAGACACATGTACCTGTAAACATTGAACACGTTGAACCATATATCAAGATCCATCATCTCTCCACAAGGGCTAGTCAGAATACAGGGGCTCATGGCAGTTCAGTCCAGCAACATCACAAATATTAAATAATAACAACAATAATAATAACCTATAGAGCTGGTTTGTACCACATTGTAGCCATTTTCAATAGAAATGTAAGTCGTAAAAAATCTGTTTCCACTCATACAACCTTTTAATGTATTGTAACAGTCAATATTTCTTTCACAGTAGTTGACATCTCACAGACAAAAAATACCTTTAAAACTACTTTACACTATGTACAAATTGAGTTATCGTTACATTACAGTATAATTAGCCTCTCCACTCTTGAATTTACTAATCATGTCGTCCATATAAAAAGAATAAATACAGCTTTATACATACGTTTAATATAAACAAGTAAATTGCACTTGCCAGGCTCTGAGGTAAACGCTTTCAGTCAGTGCGTAAAATGGACACCGCTCCCACCGTTTGCTGTTGTGGGATAATGGGTGAAGCTCGCGGATTATTTTGATTTCATGATTGATTTTCTTGACTGGCAGCCGACACATCCGGTCACAAAAGATGTTTCACTGGGGAATGTACGATTTGGGCTCTTACGCATAGCCTTTACATTCTCGTCATTTCGACATGTTTGTGTTGGCAAAATTACGCATTTGGAAAACATGACATTTAGATTAAACCTTCAACCAAATGATAGACTGAAATAACAGAATAATATATTTAGGTTTCGTTTCTTGTAAAAGAGTACAATTTATACAATATATCAGGTAAAACCCACGTTTGGAATCAGGTGTAACAGTGTTCTGCATGTTCACGTTTTGAACTTTGTCTTTAAAGATTGGATTCCGAGTGCGCAAGTTTAGCTGCCCCGACCAGGCTACTGTCGCTGTTGTCTAGTCCTGTGCAGTCAGTCCACATCCCCAGTGCCCCAGGCTCCAAAGGGGACAACACGAAGCCTCCACATTTGGATAGGTCACACGAGCTGATGTGCAACCTGCGGTCCGCTTGCCTGGGACAGCACAGCAGTCGTTTGAACGCCTTCCTAAAGTCTGGACTCCTGCAATAGATAATTGGGTTAAACGCTGAGTTCACGTAGCCAAGCCAGTTTAGGAAAACGAACAGGTTCTTGTCCACCACCTCTGCGCAAAAGACGCGCACCACGTTCACAATAAAGAAAGGCAACCAGCATAATGTGAATGTTCCCATTATTATTCCAAGAGTTTTGAGCGCCTTTTGTTCCCTCATCGCTAGAATTTTAGATGGCCTCTTCTTGCACTTCGATGTTAGTCCGGTTAAACTGTTGTGAAACCTGCCCTCGCACTTATCGATCTTCCTCACTTGATTTTTGGCCTCTCTATAGACTCGTGCGTATACAAAGATCATCACCAAGAGGGGGAGATAAAAAGATATAATAGAGGAGGAGATGGCGTAGGCTCTGTTGGTAACAAAATCACAACATTTAGGGTCCTCGTAGCAGGCTGTGTCCACGCTGTCCCGGGACCAGTGCATGAGAATGGGAAGGAACGAGACGAGCGCAGAGATGGCCCATACCACGCACACCACCGCTCTGGCTCTTGCTTTGGTTAACAAGCTTTGGTAGCGGAAAGGTGAGGTGATGGCCACGTACCTGTCTATGGCAATTACGCACAGGGTTTCTATGCTGGCCGTGACGCACAGGACGTCCACAGATATCCAAAACTCACAAAAGAACGAGCCGTACATCCAAGCGCCGCGCACCTCCAACGCAGCGCCAAAAGGGACCACAAGAAGCCCCATGATGAGATCCGCGCCCGCCAGTGACACGATGAAGACATTGGTGATGGTTTGTAGCCTTTGAGTCCTCGCTATCGCCACAATGACAAGAATGTTCCCAAATACGATAGAAAAGACGATAATGCCCATAACCAAACTCATCCCTGCCATCCACTCCTCGGACGCAACGGTGTCTTGAGCGTCTGTGTCCAATGCGTCCTCGGTGCCAGTGCTGTTGTGCGCCAGTCTCACCGTAAAACTCGCACCGGCGTCCCCCATGACTGACCGCTGCTGCGCTGTGGGACAAGCCTAAAGGTGTACATCAATGCGGAGGGGAGAGGAGAGACGTTTCAAGCACCACCATACCACTCGTGCGTCAACTTTCATCTGGAGCTGCTCGCGCTCTCTCACCACGGCCAGGACATCAAAGAGGGAGGAGTGACATCACTTCGTGTTGCGTCCAATGGAAACAAGCGAAATGGACAAACTGTTCCAACAATGACAGCACCTTTCACACACCAAGCCATTGAAGAAAATTCACACAGACGACTATGCATACTTACGCGCCCAGTGTCTTGAAATTTGTGAATGGTAAACTGACTTTTTTTTTTTTTTTTTTTACCCCTACAAACACAATTTTGGAAGAAAAACAATCAGCGTAGTCTACAAAACCCCTAATATGGCTACATCTGTTCCATGCGCACAAGCAATTACAGGGGTATAAACACAAAAGTGCAGTTAAAGGTCCTATATTACGCAAAATGTACTTTAAGCCATGTTATAATGCTGTTATTTCTTCAAAAGCACTCCTTGGGGTTGTCTTTCATGCACACATGTTTGAGTAATCCTTTAGTTTTAGTCTGTCTACAGCTCAAAATGCTTTGTCCCACCTTGTGATGTCGTGTAGTGGTAGTTTTCAAGTTAACAGCAACCTTTGACCTTTTGTTTAGTAAAGCTTGGCAATTTCAGGGCTGGAATTATCCAAATTATTCTGGTAAAGGTGTATAGAGTTAAAAACATAGTGGAAACTCAGCTTCAAGGTTTGTATATTAAACATGTGAATGAAACAACAACATAAACAACATGAAGGAAATGTTGGCAATAGTCTATAAAATGTACATCACTAAAAACGTATCACTGTTGCTACTAGACTTAAAATATCCCACTAAAACCGAGGACTTTTCTATTTGTGTATCTTGATGTCTGTTTTATATCTTTCAGCTCTGATTAGGAGGAATAACATTTTGAGGATTGGAGCACTGGACTGGTCAGTGTCAGTGTGTCAGCAAATCCACAATGCTGTAGACATGGAGGCTGTAGAAGCAAAGGAGGGACCGAAAGACAAGAATACAAACAAGTTTCCTAGACCTGAAGAAGAAGAAGAAGCAAAACAACTGATATATTTTTTTATTTTTTTAATGGTTTTATTAATTTATTTATTATTGATTGTATAGGGATCACCAATTGCATGTTACAATTTAGCTTCTTTTATATTTAACCTTTGTTGGCTCTGAAGTGGGTTGGGCCTGAAGACTGAGTAAAGGCCAGGGTCAATAACTTCTTATCTGTATTAGGATAACAGTTATTTTATTATATTACAATGTTACATAATATTATATACTCCCAATTAAAAATGATGGGGATCTAAATTAATAAATCATAAACAATAACTTTATGTGTAATCTATTCATATTTAGGCTAAGTTCTTCTCTCAAACTGAAAAGACTGTTCCACCTAGTGATGTCATGTGGTGATACAGGAAGAGCTCCATTGTGTGAATGAAACAAAATACAATGTCAGGTATGTTTTTTTGACCTTTAATCAAAACAAATCACTTTGCTTATCAACAGTTTACAGATGTCTAAGTTCATGTTGCAAGGCCTAAAAGTTACCAGGAGCTGATAAATCATGTAAACTGTGAATGCTCCTGTGACCCACGGAGACAAATGACAGATGACGATGCTCTGACAATTGGTTTGTTTTGGTTCCTGTTCTTTGCTCGTCTTTGTGAGTAAACGATTAGCATGCCTGTCCATAAACCTGACGACTCCTGGAGGCAGAGACACAACCTAACCCCAAATACCATAAGCCCTGGTCCATGAAGCAGATACATTTTTCTGACAATGAGCTTTCATAAAAGACCTATACATAGTCTTTGGTGACAGAGAACATTGTTTTCTATTGTGAAAAACTGGAAGATATAATTGAGGCTAGGTTCCTCAAGCAGAACAAATACTAGAATTTGCAGTGTGTAAATGTCTAGGAGGATTTTAAGCTCTTGTAGTTTGTTAATCTTTTACATAACCAGGTCTGTTCCAAATAAATAAACAAATACTAGAGTGTAATCGTTGCCAAAAAGTTCATTAATTCCTTATATTGTTCACAGAAGTGGACTAAGGGACTGTGATATCATCCATAGCATTCGACTCCAGCCAAATGAAGCTCACAAGGCTAGCATTTATAGGAGTGAATTTGGAGTCGAGTTCCATATTAATAAAAAGGAATTTATTTACGGACAAATAAAAATGCTAAGATCATGCAGAGCTGGCTAATACAAACATTTTAAGGCCAAAATGATAAGGCTCACAGCAGCAGTTTCAGAGAGAGGAGAGACCTTTTTTTATGAAAAGTAAATTGGAGCCAGAGTTGATGGAGCCAGAAATGCGCCCATACTCACTTCCTTTTTAGAACAGTATATGACCAACTTGAATTTCTTCTATAAAATGTGAGTCCAAAATGACAAATACATCTAATTATTTTTATTTGTCTGTTTTTATTCAGGTAGTTGTTCACTCCAAAAATGTTTATATTTGAACGAATTTATAGTAAAAACATAAATATTGTTGGTCAGTGGTTGAATTGTTGAATCCATTGTTGAATCTATGCTGATTTTGTGATAAAGAACCCAGACTGAATCTGACCTTTGTAAGTGACATGTAATTAAATATAAATTACAAAATTGTGCTGTCCTTCATCTGATTTGGCATCAAGCATTGTCACTTGCACATCAGGAATTTCAAAATATGACCACAATTTATTGCCAATGGAAAAAAAAAAGATTGTCATTGACATTGCGGCCATGATTTGTTCAGAAATAGATTTAAGGGACTAATTTTGTGATTTAAAACATTTTTGGAACATTTTGTCCCAGATTCTGGTTTAGAGCTTGTGTCATGTCTCCAAACGTCAACCATGTGTCTACATTTACTGTTTTTGTCCTGATTTGGCAACATATCATAACAGGGAAAAAGTCCAAAGATCTCTCAGCCAACTGCCCTCATAGAAGCATAACAAAAAAGAAAATCTATGGTAGTAGTGACAATGAGAGTCGCCTTGGACTAAAGCCAAATAAAAAAATAAATTTATATCCAATTTTCAGCCTTTTTAATTAAAAGTGTTTCCATTTTTGGCTTGATTATGGATAATTAAATAGCTGCAGTAGATCATAACCCTTCTTGTCCGTGTAAAGAACCAATGTCGGAAATTGAACAAGAAAATTATTTATTGATCCATAACAATAAAGACTCCAAGCCTCTTTTAGTTCAGGGGCAGATATTTTTGCAGGATAGGCTCATTGTGAAAAATCTTGAACAATTAAATTCAATTAACTGCCATTCCTGTCCTTTTAAGAATAGACATAATCACCAACTGTCTATCTCCTGCACGCATCAAGGCCTGTGGTGTATTTTATATGTTGTCCTTTGTTGAAGCCATGAAAAACCCTCCTCATTTGAACCCAAAATAAAACAAATGAAAGTTAGACTGGCTGTGTTTTAAAAGATTGATGTAGTCATTTAAATGATCGCATCAGGATGAGTAAGTGAATTGGAAAGGAAGTGAATGAGTTGATTAATATTTAAAAGCATTATCCAGTCAGATTAGCTGAAGAAATATAGCTACTTCTAACTTATAAAATTGCAGCAATGCCTCTATTTGATTGATAATACCTTTGCAGATCTAACTTCTTGCAACGTCCTTGACCAGTGAAAATCTACTATTGAAAAAAACAATAAAAAAGGATATCCATAACCCCGAGACTAATTAATATTAAAATCTGTATCAACGCTATGAATACTGAAAAGGTCACCGAAATTAGACAAACTTTAAACTTTACTGAATGGTTTCTGTAATATATATCAGAAATAACATCAGACCAAATGATGTATTAAAGGGCCTTAGTAACTTTCAGTGACTAGACAGGTGTTTCTCTGTCATGGTTCAACACTGGAGGAGCCCAATGCTTACAGGCCTTATAGAAAATAATTGTCTTGTGCTGAATGTTATTTTCTATTAAAATATTCTAGTATTGAACCATCAAGTCTATTACTTAGAATGGAATTAAAGTCTGAAATTTACTAGTAGCACTGTGACAACACTATTATACCTCCGCACACACTCCGTCACTCAATAACAGGAAAAGGCTCAGACTATCATCGTCATTTTGGTCTCAGGTTACAACCTTCAGGGGTCAAAGATAAATTTGTTGTTCAAAATGGAGGTCAAAGTAATGGACAAACTGGTTCAGCTACAATGGAAGCTTGACTCAGACCCTGAAGCTCAGACAGAAAAATCTATTTCAACTCAGAAACTACGAACACTGAAAACATATTTAACATAGTCTTTTCTTTAGTAGTTACATTTTATTCAGAGCCCGTACCACATAGAAAGAAAAGTTTAAATTCCAAATATAATAATAACTTTTTAAAACTTTTTGGATTGTTCACATTTTGGTGTTTACATTTGTTGTTTGTCCCACATGCCATTTGTCTGTACAACACATCCCTATAACTGAATGAAAGAGGATGGACTGACAACTTTTTTTTTTATCTTGGTGGTGCCGAACTGTGAATTTTCTTCGGGATCCATAAAGTATCTATTTATCCATCTATCTATAATTTGTGGTGCATGTTGATGCAAATGCACACACAAAATTTCTCATTGCTACATCATACCAACTAGAAATTAGAAATACTCCATAATTAAAAAGTACCCTCCCGAGGACTGGCCCAGCAAGGTCAGTGGGCTTGTGATCCTGCCACACCTTGTCAGAAGCAGCCGCTGGCCTGCAGAGGAGATTAATAGGAGTAACCTTGAACACTTCTCAGAATAACAGACTTTGCAGGGAGATGACTGTGGACTCACCAGTGTCTGTGTAAAGGTAAAGGTGAGGAAATCCAAAGCACACATTTACATGATGTAACTTTTATGCTTGAGGTTACAGAGATGTTACTGCTTTGCCAAGAATGTTCCACAGTATTGCATTAAACTTCTTACAATTACTCAATTACACATGTTTTTATGGCAGGCATATATCTTGAAAAACATGTACTGTGAATGGGCTTGCCTTTCCACAGATATGACCTGTAACTTGGTGGTGTCACCTGTTTGCCTCCATGTAGATACTATGGCAAAGGAGAAATTCAATTCTGTCAACTGGACAAAAGTTTTTTGCTTCTTCAGTTCTGAGAACTATATCATGCAGTATCATGCAGTAGAAAAACTAGAGGAATAACTCATTTTGGGGAAGAAAGATTGTAGGGGTATGAAAAAAGGATTGAGCCATTTATGGCAAGCGTAAGAATGTATCATTATTTTAACAGCATACTTCACAGTATAATTTATCATTTTTGGAAGTACAAACATTTTGTTTTATGAGACAACCCCATCTTCATATGACCACCATAAGAGGTACAACAGAAAAACACTCCTGCTCATCAATTTTTCATATCTCATCTCAACTCCTCTTCTTCAAAATACAAATTTGGATAGCATTGTGTTATGTGACCAAAAAACTCCTTGTGGGTTTGGAGTAAGCATTTGCTATTTGTGTGATGTGGTAGGATGCTGTTAATTTGTGTGACTGGCCTGTCAGGAGAACAAAAGCGAAGGGTTAATGATGCTGTCTCCGTGCTGGTATCAGGGTCGGAGAGGAGAAGGAGGAGGAGTTATTGCTAACAATAGACTCTTCATCCTCTCTGTTACTGGTCTTTTTCAATTACACTTCTCTTTCTAATTGTCTAATCTGAATCTAAATTAATCAGATTAAATTCCTTATGTAAATGTTTAGTAAATTGTGTATACTTCAAATGTATGCAATCTTAGTGGCATTTGGTTTTTATACAGTAAAGATGGCTAAAGAAGGGGGTTTAGAAACATCACTTCAGAGAAGAACAATTTACTACTAAACTAATCTGTTTTGCATTTTTCAATGACAGTTCAAAAATAATGTATGTAGTGTGAACAGTACATACAGGCTTGCCTTTTCACAGATATCACTTGTAAGTTTGCCTGCTGATGTCACTTGTTTGCCTCCATGGAGATACTGTAGTTTTGTTTAATGTGTTACTGCAAAAACTTCCAGGCAAAGAAATGACATCTCCATGAAGACAACCAGGAGGAGGATTCTCTACCTGAAAGATTATATAGTATACCTTTAATATGAATGACCCCCTCATTAATATTTATTTATATTCAAAGGGTATCAAGCAGTGGGAAAAATAGGAGGAATAGCAATTTTTTTGGTCCACCACCATTAGAGGATGATTTGCTTTTTTGTCAATGAGTTATTTTTGCTGCAAAAAAAATCTTTAAAAACATTCTGACTCAGAGTGAAATTACCTTTCCGTAGATCTGACCTGTAACTTGGTGATGTCAGTTGCTCGGCTACATGGCGACAGAAGCCACACTCTAGGCAAAGCACTAACGTCTTTATGTCGACAAGCAGGTGGCAAACCCTCTACCAGAAAACTTACATAGTTCATTCTTAACCAGTAATTTAATCCAACAATATTATTATGTGTTTGGTAACCCTTATTCCTTTGAGTTTTGTTATTTTTATAATTTTGCACACAGACGCTATAGGCGGCAGTAAAAGTCTCTCATCAAAGTTCAAGCTCAATTAGCAGTAATCTCTCACTCATGTGTTTTCATGTCTTACATAGTGAAATATATTTATATAAAGCATCATCATTTTATGCCCACATGCTGTGCACATCACTGTCACTGGCTTTAAATCAGTCAGCACAGCCAGCCAACATACTTATTTATTTATTTTTATATATAAAACGATACATAGTTTAGAAAGAATATTTAATGTTATGTTGTCCATAAGTCCGTCTGGTCAGTCTTTGAAAATTAAGCTTAAAGGGCCCATATTATGGTATTTTCTGATCTATGTTATAATGTTGTTTCCTCATTACAAACATATCTGGGGTTGTGTTTTGTTTTATACACACATGTTTAACACACAAACCCTGCATATTTAGGCTGAGTTCTTCTCTCAAACAGAAGAAAACTCTGACTGACCTTGTGATGTCATGTGGTAATACAAGAAGTGCTCCACTGTTTTTAAACTTAATACGCCTTAATCATTTGATTAATTTCAGCCCTGGAATTGCCATTCTCTACTATACTAAAGGTAAAAAGTAGCTGTTATCTTAAATACCACATCATTACATTACAAGGTGGACTAGAGTATTTTGAGCTTTGAAGATGTAGACAGACTAATAATAAAGCACTACTCAAACATGCATGAATCTAGGCATAGAGTAGGCATAAGGATTGTATTTACCCTACACAGCACTAATTGAACTTACTGAATCTCCTATTACGACATTGTCAAAATTCAAACAAGCATCCAGAAAACATATTGTCTAAAGACCCAATTAGTGGAGGCCAATTTTCTGAAGATGCACAGGACACTAAACAAAACATCCCTTTTTAAATGCAACATAAAGGTGATATGGGTCATTTGAAGTCAGCCTTTATATAATCTGGTCCCATGATAAATCTGTAAAGAAGCGCTCTCATTAGCATTGCCTTTGATGACAGCTACAGATGTGCCACTGCATTTAACCCTATACAATGTGTTTCTAATGCACAACAGTCTAATAGTGTAATGGGAGGTTACTGAATAAACTTGCAATAACACAACACAACACATTTTAAATTGTTTATTTATTTAGTTGAAACTGTTTTATTTATTTGTATAGAGTCAGGAGTTGGAGTACAATACCTTAACAGGAAAATGGGATTAAGAAAATATATATTAGTACAAGCGAAAGCCAATAAATTAGAATTTTTTTCAGGCCATAGCTAAGTATACCTCAGTGTATATGAGTTTTTGCCAATGTAATCTGCTGACAAAAAAAATGTTAAATATATATTTTTTATTTTTCTGGTCACCTAAAATATATCTGCATCCACCTGTTGATTTGCAAAAATAAAATGTATTATTATTATTATTATTATTATTATTACAATTAAAGAAATACATTATTTTTAATCTTTAACCACTCTAAAGGCACTTTTAAGGGCAAAGTCATGCTGTGTTAAGAAAATGATAACAGAAAAAATAACCAACAAAATAAACTTTGTTCAACAAAGCATCTCTTGTGCAAGTGTGAAACTGAAATGTCAGTGTATTCACTCAGAACATATAATCAATTTGTGGTTAGTCTTTAATAACGATTCAAAAGATGCTAAAAAAATCAGGCACTTTTCATGAAAAACCACAGAGGGTCCATTCTATGAATAATTACACCGCACACATAATCAATAATCAGTATCAATCAATACCAGTAAAATAACCACCCCCAAATGGAGCAAATAAGTGTGCCTCTAGGCTGTAATTATAGATGTCAAAGAAAACATGGAAACACGTTATATGTCAATTGTAGTTAATTGTAGGCTATAGAGTTCAGCCATAACTTAGATACAACTTCAACTGTGAAAATAAATTTGATCCTTCATTGAACTACAGTTTTAGACAAAAACAAATCACAAAGTTGTCATGTTATTCTTGATCATTGATCATTGTATATATTCTATATTTAATACTTAATGCATAGTCCTGATAAAATGGAGATGATTTTGAGTTACACAGCTAGCTCTGAGCAACTTCCGATTGAACTGAACCTTAGACAGTGATGTTTCCCAAGTTTTCCAAGCAATTGAAATGAATATTTTTTGAATAAATACCATTATGGGCATCATCATTTAGACTTATTTTGTGCAGTTTAATAAAATACTATTAATGCTTTCTTGAGTTGCAGTAAACATTGTGTTTAAAAAATCTGAATACAGTTCAATAAATAGATACAAAAATGTATATAATTAAATGTGGAGATATTTAAATATCAGTCATCTATTTAAAAACCCACTCCCTTTTACAAACCCAAATTTAAAAAAAACTGGAACAGTATAAAATGAAAAGTAAGGCTTGCTGCAATGATCTCTAACTGTCAACTGAAATACTTGATCAAAGGTTCAACTTCAGGAGCAAAAAAAAGTTTTTGTTTTTTTTTAAAACCAAAATTAATTAATCTTAATTCACCTGATATGTTTTCATTGTAATCTACAATGAATAATAAATAATGTATGGTTAGAGTTTTGAAATGTTGACCAATATCCCATTTATTTCTGCAGTTTGTACCTGTATAAATGCCACAGAATATTTATCTCACACCCACCTCAAACACCAGTTAATAATTTCAGTCTTCCCTCACAACTCTATCAAACCATCAAATGACAACGCAAATGGACCAACACTATGTGAATCTATAAGGTGTGTGCAAATGCCACGGTGACCTCCTCCTCTCCAGGGATGGTGCTGATGTGGAGTGGCTGTGTAAACGAAGCAGCTTTCATCATACAGGCACTGCCAGAGTCCAAGCAGTAGTACACAAACACACTGAGGCTCAGGCTGGGTCCGTCACTGGACTCTTTGGTCGTCATGGTGACAGGGAGTTTAACAGAGACACGCAGAGACCGGGACAGATCCGAGATGTCACCCATCACAGTTTGTCCCTCCAGAAGCCACTCATTCCCTATAGAGAAAGGCAAGCAAATTTAATATGCTTAAAGAAGAGATTGTTTGTGGTTGTTTGTAGTACAACATATGTTAGGGCTGAGCAATTAATCAAATTTGAATCAATTCTGCCAATTATATGCTTGGGTCTTTTGATCTGAGAAGTCTACAGTCTTCAGTCATGTGGTTTGGAGCAGACTTCAGAGGTTGGAGGATGAAATGTATTTTATTTAGGTTTTTTTGTGTTGGCAATGGCAATGATTAATAGTCTATCATGTTTATATTTATTAAATCAATACTAAAAGCCATTTTTGTCTTTTTTGTCATACTGCCCAGCCCTAATATGATATAGATCAATATTTTACATTTGGCTTATAGAAAACCGTAATATTATTGATTTAAAACAGGTCTGTTGGCACCCTGTTTAACAGACCTCATGGCATTTCACCATAACCCAATGTGTATGACCTGAAGTCTAAATCTTTTGAAAAAAACAGAAGTACAGTCCTGTGGGCAGAGGTAGAGTATAGGGTTGTTATGCCAACTACGACATTGTGGATTGTCATAGTTGGCTCATTGCTCTTGGGTTACAGAGCCATAGAGAGTACAGAGAGAGAGAATATTTACTTTCTAAATGAATTATTAAATCAAAAGTATATATTTGCAATCCACTTAATAAAACTAATCTACAAAGCACAAAATAAAAACAATGATCCAGCGTGCACAGACACAGTGTCCTTGTTATCATAAATGCTGGACAAAAGTATTTTGTTTTTCTTGTCGGACATTTGTAGCACAATAAAGAAATGGTCTTCTCAAATATATTACCCATAATCCAACAGCCCCCTGTGAGTCAGACAAGGACACAAATTTTCTGAAAGGAGAGGTGTATTTTTAGATACAAGTTCACATCAATAAAAATGTGGATGTTGAAAGGTGAATGAAGACATGGCCTGGGCGAAGCTTTGACTGTGAGAAAAAATATCCTTCCAGTCTGTGCCAGTTGTGATTAATGAACCCTATTCTTAACAAGAGGTCCCGGGACAGCGATTACCCAAAACCCATGACAAAGAAAACAAAAAACACTCTTATGATCAGCACTTTACTTCTTACTTGTTCCATTAAAATTCCTGCCCCTTGCTTCGATCAGAGTCTAGACAGGGGCATAATCGGAGCGCAGAGGATCACATAACATGGGCTGGTGGCTAATTATGTGAACCGAGCCTTGCCTTATCAAAAATCCAAAAATAACTTGCTGATACGAGCAGCAGCACATAGCGTCGCTTCAATGATAAAACTTCTTTTGTTCCCGAACCTAATACAGATATTCACTCCCATCTCTTTTGGAGGTCAGAGCAGTGTTTAAAAATCACATTTGAGCAATAAATACAGTGGGAACACAGAGATGACCCCAGTACCCTTGTAGCCCACAGCCAACGTGGGCCGCTGTTGGGAAGCCGCTTTGCTGTGCCATGACACTGCAGTGAGCATCATTCATATCCATTATGGTTTGACAGACCAAATGTAGCTTAAAATACAGCAAAGTAGGTGGGGTTGAGAGGCTCATACCAGCCCTTGAACAAATGCATAGTCCTTGAAAGTACAGATGGGAAAAACCAGGACAAAAGTAAATAAATGTAAGTTTTTCCAATACGAGCACGAAGCATCAGCATGATGAGCTACAGTAGCACATTGCTTGGATAAAATGGGCCAGCCTTCTTTCCACACATGACCCACATGACTGCTCTTCACTTCTGTCCCTTCGTCATACCACTTTTCATAATCAACATCACACTTGACAAAAAATTGTTTTGGAAAACCTATGATCCACTTGTCTAGCCCACCAATCATAATATGACCGTTGTCCAAGTTGCCTGCCTTTTGCTGCAAACACATCAACAAAATCACTTCACTTGCTTTCCAAAATGTCCCGCCTACCAAAAATCACAGATTTTTTAATACTTGGTTTGGTAAAATTGTACTGGTGGTAGATATTTATAATAGTTTTACATCAATTAAGTGACTATATTTAAGATTTACTAAAACGAATCATGTTAACTATGTTTCAGAGAAATTAATAGTCTTAACCGATCATCTGCACTTTAAATGTAATGTAAATAGTAAATTATTAGCACCTTTGCTATAATCTGGCATATTCACACTGTTAACTGTTACAAATGATTATTACTATGCAGTGTCCAATCAAATCTTGAATAACAAAGGCTTCTTAGAAATGTAAATGTCAGTTTAACTTACGTTGCACTTAAGCACTATTGTTTCACAGTATCACAATTAATAACAGTGTAAAAACGATTCAGCCATTTTCAGCCTTTGTGTATACACTTTTATTTCTGCCCCTCGCTCTCCCTACAGCTAGAACATGGCATTTAGTCAATATTAAATGTCATGAGCATGCCCTGTGTTTAATATCATTCTAACAGTGCTTGTTCCTTCAGGTTGCCTTTGTTTACGTGGAGGACCTTAATAAACTGAAGCTAAACTTGGCCTTACCTTCAGCGGAGAGGGTCCAGCAGCTGGGGGCTCCATCGGTGAGGTGGGCTCCCTCTGGCAGGGACAGTGTGAGGGACAGGGTGAGGGTCTGGCCCGCGCTCACTGCCACCGCGGACATGTGCTTCTTGGCAGCAGACTTGGGTAGAGTAGGGGCTTTGGCAGGACCAGACGACCTGGTGGGTATGGCATCAGTGCAGTCGGTGGAGATGGGAAACTGCAAAAATAATTACAGTTTAGAGTGTTTTAAATAAAAGAAACAAAGACTGCTTTTGATTTTAGATTTCACCATTGACCCTAGTTTCACATGTAATTACCAAACACACACCCAATTGTTTGTTATTGAGTTTATGATGGTGTAGGATTTTGATCCAACTGAATAGCCTGAGGACCAAAGCATGTCATTTTAAAAATTAATTTGGCTTAACTTTAGATGTTTACTCAGCGGAAAACACAAAATATTGTCCCATTTAGCCAACTATGACCTCACTATGCCCCCTCTATGACCGGAAAATATGTGGGAAAAGAATTTTGGAGAGTTTAGATGACAATGTACATAGAACCATCATTGCTAAGAAGACTAAAATTAATAAATCATGATACATTTGAATAAATATTAATTTATCAGTAAATTCAGTGAATATCTGTTGATCAATGTCAAAATAAATGTTCTGGGATGTGCTCCAGTTAGCAAGCATAACCCACAAAATGGCTGTAATAACTGGTAAAACTTGGTTCCAGTACTTACCAGAGAGACAGTCTTTGAGTCCAGGTCCAAGACTTTGATTTGGTGGTTGTTTGTATCAGCCACATATAGAGTCTTGCCTCCATCTGCCACACAGAGACCTCCTGGTTCATTAAAGCTGGACTGGTTAAACTCTGGCCCCACTTTGTCTCCAGCCTCTCCTGTGCCTGCTAATGTAATGCACTGCTTTGTCTTTGGGTCCACCACCTTAATCTGCAAACACATAAGTAAAACAAAAAAAATTAAAAGGTGCACTATGTAACTCTTCCAATGGTAGATCCACATTATCGTTTTCTCCATGGAGATGGTATTGCTTTGGTTGGAATGTTCCACAATATGGCACTGCACTTATCTATATCCATGGACACAAGTACTGTATCTTACGCCACCAGGCCAAGTTACAGGTCAGCTCTTTAGAGAGGCGAATATACCCTGCTCAAAGTAAGACTACATGCATTTCAAAGTTAATCGAAATAATTGTAATTGAATAAATGTAAGACAGATAATACAGTGGAACCCCCCATTCAAAGCATTAATATCTCCACTGAAATAATCAAGTGGTTGCCTGGAGAAGTTACACAGTGCACCTTTAATGTGTTAAAATATTGGAGACAGTTGTGCTCACATAATAATCTTGTGACACAGAGTTGTTGCTACCTTGTGATTGTAGGAATCAGCCACATAAAGCAGGTTTTGTTCAGAGGACCATGAAAGGCCAAGAGGGTGCTGCAGTTTGGCGTCAACCCCTTTACCGTCAACATCGCCAAAAGCAAACAAGTTCTGCACCAAAACAGATAAAAGTAGTAAAACATGAGCCAGGTTAAAGCTGTACTAATGTTTGGCGGCACAATGGTGTATAAACAAAGTAGAAAGATTTTTGGTTTCACAGATATAAATTCAATAATACTTTTGTTTTGAGGTATTGCAAACTTACATAAAAAACATTCATAATGAGAAATAGACATTTAACTTAAGTAGAATGGCTGATCAATAATGAAACATATTTAGCTTGATCATTAATGTTATTTAGCTGAATCATCAATGTCATATACAAGCAGAGGTGGAAAAACTGTAGTTAAGAAATTGCAATTTGTTAATACTAGTGTTATATTCTTACAATGTATTACTATAAATAGTAGTAGATATTCAAAACACTGCCTAATATGCAACACTGTATAAAATAAATGTGTACACAAGTAGCAAAGAAGACATGGTACCAGTGGGTCTCTCTCTGCACCAACCAGTGACTTTACTGCTCCGTCCTTCAGGGCTACAGTTCGGACGGAGCTACTCTCACTGTCTGCCACAAACAGACAGTTCCAGGGGTCGTGAGGGGCAGGGGCCAGGCCAGAAGGCTGGGCAAAGCCTGCCTTATGTGGGTATGCGTTGTTACGATTCTCTTCACTGCCACTGCCAGCCCATCGCACACATGTCCCAGCTTTTGAGTCACTATTTAGTAAAAAAACAACATACCGATACATAATATAACAAATGAATCACTGGTTGCAAATTATTCAAATATGGTGTTCAAATTGGTACTACCTTCCTTTGGGGAGTTTGCCATCTGACAGAAACAGAGCCCATATCTGATGTGTGCCCGCCATAGCAATCCACAGAACATTGTCTTCTTCACCACCTAAATAGACAAATATAGACAGTTAAAGGTGCACTATACAACTTTTCTGGTGGGTCCATCACCTCGATGGATGTGTCACTAGTTTGCCTGGAATGTTCCACAGTATGGCATTAAGCTTTATCTTAAATGTATTTAATTGCAGGTGTGTATTTTCTTGGCTCAGAAATACATTAAAAAAATGCTTTCTTACAGCCATGCTGTGGAATATTGTTCTTGGCCAAGCAAAAATATCTCCATGGAGACAAGAAGGTGGCAGAAATTCCACTAGAAATGTTACAAAGTGCACCTTTAAGTTTACCATAGGGGCAGTTTTGATAGAAAATCAGAAAGAACAGAGTATAAAATCTACAAGAACACTAGTCGCACTGCCACCTGCTAAAAATAAACACATACATTTAAATATTGGTCATTGCAACTGTGCGTGGTTACAAATTTGGCACTGGCAATCGACCAGTATAAAGCTCTCATCCAACAGGCAGGTCTCATTCTGACAGACACACAACCCTCACACAGAGTTCAATTGTATTTTTAATGCAGTGCAGAGCTCAGCATTTGGCCATGTTTGATAATAGCAGCACCTGACGAGTAGCATCAGTGTAACAGCAGCTCTATTCAAAGGTGTAGGGGCCTCTCAATTAATTATGCATCATCCATACTGAACACAGCATGAATATGCAATGACTGTTTGGAATAATGATATTAGAGGGATTTAAAAGGCTTGAGATACAATCATGGGCTCTGTTATTAGGTTGTGGCAGCAGGTTGTAGTACGCTAAGGGTCACCAATATTATACAGAAAAAAAAAAATTACAGTTTGTTTGCTGAAGTTATTATTATTTTTATATATATTGCTAAAATACTGATTATAAGAAATAAGAAAGTTTCATTTTTTCAGATTTCTTAAAAGGAATCAGTCAGTGCCATTACAGTGCTATAGATAGAATTAGATATTATCAAAAATAAAAGAATACTGTAGCGTCAAACTCAATGAAAGTTCCTCTGGTTAGTACAGACCTTACATTTTTTGCAAATAATTTTCAAACTGAAAATATCATATAAAATATCTTCTTGACATAAACTCAGTGCCTTGTTGCCACACTAAATGACAATTCAAATCATCTTCAAAAATGTATACAATAAAACTTTGCAAAAGCAAAACACAGAGATTATTTCATTGCCTTGACTGTGGCTTTATAATAAATGTGATATCAAATATGAATAATTGCGATATGACCATTGCTCAGGGGAAGTAATAAAGGCAGTGGAGATTACCAAGATTATCACACTGCTATCACTTCCCAGAGACATTTGGAAGCAGCAAAAATAAATTAATGAGACATCCATGGCTTCTTAATGTAAATGCAGTAACATTTTCTGAACCTACACAACCCATTTATACAAATATTTTGACCACGTCAGAAGTACCAAAACATAATGTTCCCTAACATATATTTGAACATTGAGTTTAAAACTTACCAGCTGTACCTACAGCCACATCCCAGGGAGAGCTGATTGGCTGTTCTGGTCCCATGGCTCCACCCTCTTTGTCTGTACCCTGGACTCCAACTCCAGCTAAAGTAGAGACTTTCTTGTGCAACAGGTCAATCTATGTAAAACATTTAAAGAAAAGTATGTTATGTTTACAATTGTACACACACCACACCAAAGCCGGGACTAGAGAAACAGGACTAGGCAAGGACTCAACTAGGACTGGAAACGGGACCAAACCAGGTTTACAACACAGCTAACCAAAGCAAAACAAGCGTGAAAGCCCAGCTTAATTTAGAGCTAGCATTATTTGACACAACATATGACAATAACATTCATGTTGTTGTGTACCTTTCTGATGAGGTGATTTTCGGTGTCTGCTACATAAACAGTGTCTCCTTTAATTGCTACACCCTGAGGAGAGTTAAATGATGCTTCTAAAAAGGAACCGTCTTGTCTGCCACTTTTAGGTCCTGAAATAATACAAAATAAAAGAAAAATATAAAAGAAAATATAAACAAACAATATGTCACTATATATTTTAGACAAATCACATTTGATTGATATTTGGTTTTATAAACATGGTCCATGGTATAGCACAGTATTTGAGACAACACAGTGGAGCTGGTGGCATTTATGACGTGTAGAGTCTTATGCTGTGGCCAGCCTCTGCGCCGACCTGGGACAGTGCTATGACTGACTACCCAAACAATACAAACAATATCAGTTGTATATGTTTTTTTATTAGAATATTACTTATTTTTATTAGGATAGTGCCTGTGGAGATGTTCATTATCTTTTTTTATTCATTATTGAATAAAATGGTGAAGTGTGGATTTAGGAGGGATTGAGAGGATTTAGTTTAGCACTCATTTTCTAGCAGCATGTTTGTGGACAAAGGTGCAAGTCTCACAAATAATGAAAAACAACAAACAAGTCATGGACTATTGGGTTTCTGCTCTGCATGCTCCTCTCAAAGCCCCAGTCTCAAATATAAAGGTCATGAAAAACATTCAACAACATGCCCACTTCCTCTGTTTCTCCAGAGTCTGGACGTCACATACATGACGTGCATGTCAAGGTTATACTAGGGCACCTGCACAATAATAAAATGGACTGGACTGTGTTCAGTAACTCCTCAAGATAATCTCAATCTGATAATGGTCCACCAAAAAGTCACTTGAAGTCTAGCTCCATTATTTTATTTTGATGTTTTTCCCCCAATTTACCAGAACCCAAATTACTGCTTACCAGTTTAAATTCTTGTACCTAGTTATGCCTTTTAGATCATCAAAATTAAGGGCATATTTCTCATGGCTTAAATGATCCCTTAACTGGTGCCACATTGAAAGAAAACCTAGATAAAACCTATTCAAGGTCATTATCTCTGGTGAGATTATTGACAAACCCATTTTCTCATTACCTCCAATAACATGTAATAGCTGCCCTGTTGGAGAGACCACCACAATTCGGTGATGTCCAGTATCTGCTATGACCAGCCTCTTGCTGTTGTCCACCGCGACTTTTCCGGGGAAGGAGAGAATCGTGGGTGGCAGAGAGTCTTTTAACAGCTTCATTCCGACCGCATGAGACTTCAGATGACCCTGTTCTCCATAGAAACGCATGGACATCTCTGTGAAGAGCGTTAGCCTGTCTCTGTGGCCCTCGCCCACCAGAGAGAAGAGCAGGTTCCCCTTTGGACCCAACAGGACAAGAGTGGGCCAGCAGGACACCTCCAGCTCATGCCAGAGCTGTGCATCGCCATCGTTCACCACTGGGTGGCATATGTCATAGCGGAGGACAGCACTGCGAATGTTGTCCAAAACCTACAAGAAAAAACAAAAGAAAACAGGTAGGAAATGCACATTAGCTTGCATAAAAAAGATCAATTCTGATGTTAGTTATAATACTGTACATGGATGAGAGCAAACATTATGATTATAAGACCTGTCACAATATATTATAAATGTAGAGATCATGTCATCACACATTATAGAAGTTTCAGTTACCCTAAGGGTTAAATTGATGAAGATTTTAAGATGCCACTCATAGGTTTGAACTTTCTGTTTATAGGAGATATCTTGATGTCTTTTGTTGTTATAGCATCACTAGCACATAAGCAATTCACTTCAGAAAATTATATTGTTAATTTATCATTTGTGGAATTATGTGTTAGAAATGTGACAGACCCAATTATCAGTTCATATTAGTGATAATGTTATGCATTGTTGGTATTGGCAAATTAACAATGCTCTTTGCTAAAATTCAATTAATTACCTTCTCATTTGGGAATTTAGCAGAGTGCACTCCAACAATGACCAATCCATCTAAACAAGAAAAATAGAATACAAGTCTTCAAAGTGTAGTCTATTATACAAATTGGCAATTAACAAAACATTTCTATGTCTTTTAAAACCCTGTTGTAGTTTAATTTGACAAATTATTTAAATGTGCTTATGTTAAAAACTGTTTTTTTCTTAATACTACATGTATCGTCAGGTTATATAAGCTTGATTTGGGTACAAGTAAACATTTGAGTATGCGTGTCTCCTCCAAAACCATGAGAAAAAGTAGAGCAGACGTGATATTAGGCCAAACCTCCAGGGGCACAGTTCACACAGTCAGTGACTCTTCAGCAAACATTAAAAAATAAAAGCATCTTCTAGGAAATGTTGAACACTCTGACGCAATAATATGTAATTATTTTGCCACTCTTTAAAAAAAAAAAAAAAAACAGAGCACAGACTTGATTGTGCAAAAGGTGAGTGGAATTGATCATTTTCAAGCATGGAAAAAGTTTTGGATGATTTAAAGTTACATAACCTCAAAATGGCTTAAAAGTGCTAGCTGGATGCAAACATTTCCATATGCTTTCATAGTGACACTTAAGATGTGGACAAATTCTTCAATTCAACATAGTTTGGACATATAACATGTGACCATACCAGCTTGTCATCTGATCCCGTCAGATCTCAGAAGCTAAGCAACACTGGGCCTGGTTAGTACTTAGAGGGAAGACCGCTGGGAAAATCAGGTGCCACAGTGGGGTGCCAGTCACAAAACTGTTGTTGTGTCCATAGGCAAGGCACTCCATAGGCATGAGTGATGTTGGTGGGCAGAGGGGCCAATGGCGCAGATTGGCAGTGTCACTTCTGTCAGTCTGCCCCAGGGTGGCTGTGTGTGTGATAGTAGCTTACCAGCACCGAGTGTGGAGTGAATGAATAATGCTCTGTAAAGCATCTTTGAGTGTCCAGAGAAGTGCTACATAAAACATGCAATATTATTATATACCAAGTGCTAGTAATAGTTAATACAAAAGATAATACAAGACAAAGGAGATTATAGTCACCATTTTGACATGATAATATTACTATCACTTCTCCTAATAACAATAATAATAATGTACTGTCATATAAATTATAGTCTTAGTGTAATTTTCTTGTATCTTTGTGTTGTTCAGATAAGAGTTCAATTTTTTGCATAGCTCTCATATGATTTAAAAGATGTGCTGTAATGCTTTGAGTTATTATTACATATACAACAAAGGGAGATACACCCACCCAGAACAAAACAACTGTCGAATTTTCTTTACACACATAAATTAGTTTTGCTTTCATATTTATCATGCTCTGTATTACATTTCGTCACTTGTTACTGATGCCAGGCACAGGGCAGATTGTGGTGCTGATGGGTGGACTGTGGGAGTGACTGAACAGGGCAGCTCCCACACCTCACTGACCAGAGCAGCAACAGAATGTACCCACTGCACTGCCAAAGATAAGCCCAGTGTTGTGATAAACTGTGGATGTATGCTGTCTGTCTATGGCCCCTTAAACTCATGCATTAAGCCCCAAAGGCGCCAAGCGGATGTTACTGAACTATGCATCACAAGAGTGAGGGGTCCTAAACTCAGCTAACAGCAGGGCCTATAAAAGGGACAGACTGTACACAAATCCTCATCAGTGATAATGTAGGAATTATTTTGAGTGCCCGTCTCTCACAACTAAGATATGAATGATGAACAGTAGCCAACTTCCTATGACGCAACATGCCTACCAACTAGAGGTCAACTTTATGCTGAGATGGCATTAAAAAAGATTTGAAGGTTTGTATTTCTACTTTCTACTTAAAAAAATTATTAAATTTTAATTTTTATCAATTGTCTATTTTCAAGAACAACTTCAAATATATTCAAAAAACCTAAATATGTTATTACTGAGACACTTACATGTAAGCTAGTGTGTGCATACCTTCCACAGAGTGTCTTTTCTCCAACTGGTGCAGGTCCGGCAGGATGTGCATACAGTTTATGCAACAATAAGTGAAGAAGTCTAACACCACAACTTTACCAGAAAGCTCCTTGTTCACAGACAGAGGACCCTCTGTATTCAGCCACTCCAAACCTGGCACATGAAAGTGTAAAATTACTTGTATTAACTATATAATAAAACAGTGATAATATCATTGAAACATAGAAACAACTTTACTATTCTTGGCTTGAAGGGAAATCATATGACTGCCATTGGGAACAAAGAAATCAATGAAGGTTGTTTAAAATTGAAAATTACTCTAATAATTTAACAGATTTTTAACAGATTCTACTATATTTAGTGTTCATACAGGCTACTGCTGATCCCCATCTGCTGGTGAAATAGTATATTGCCAATATGTTACAAAAGAGCAACATTTCTGTGTCAAGCAAATGCAGTGTAAACAAAAGACTAAATGTAAGAACTAAATGTAAACAGTCTGGTTGTAGACGATGACACACACATTTTATGCAATTTGATCTAATTAACCATTGCAATAATACAATAAACACGGCACAAGAAAATACCCTTATTTTTACATTTGCTTCAATAAATCGTGTGTTTCACCCACGCGTTTAACATTATACACTGTGATAAAATAGTACATAATGTATGCTTTGAAGTCTGTTTTAATATAATGCATAACGTAGTATAACTTGTGTTAATCTTTGGTAGGGCTCCTTAGAAAGGTTTCAATTTGTCACCAAACCACATACTGGCCATTAGTTACGTTTGTTCAAATACAATCAGTTCTTCTAGTTACAAGTGCTGAAGTGTCAGAGCCCAGAGACTTCTCTGTACATGACAGGGGACTGGGCGTGTAACTCCACAGCACAGCTATGTGAAGAGCTACACTCAAGTCGAGAACTGTACACTAGCCTTACCTGGCTGGAAATCGGGAATTTTTAGGTCCTCTCGTTTGTCTACCTTTTTCAAATACTCGTAAACAAGATTTTCTTTTTCTTGCTCTGTTGTAGCGTCATCTAAAGCATAATCCAGCTGACTTTGGATAGGAAATAAAGTAGAGAGGCTGCACTGGGAAGCCATGATTACAACTAGCAGGGAGTAGCGTAAGTGCAATACTATGCACAAAAGCACTTTCGTCACGAAATCCAACAAAGAAGAAAAGAAAGATCGAATGTAGTTGTTAAGTTGAAAGCATATTTTATTCATTATGCATATTATTATTTAATCAATACATGTGTTCCCTGATATAGTTTGTAAATATACGTAATAACAATGTAAGATTTGTTGAAAGTGTTCCTTTATATCGGTAGCTATATTAACGCCATTTATATCTCAGTGGCGGCAAATGCTAATGCTATCAACAATGCTAACATGTGGAAAAAGATTAATTTGGATTTTATCCTTTTTAACTGAATGTTTATCATGATCGCGTGGATATCGGAAGCTCTCGTGTGGAAAATGCATTTGCCCATCGACTTAACTGTAAGGAATTTTTAGGATATCTACAACAGGAATGTTATTAGAGGTGAAGTCCTGTGTTGTAACAAGGGTTTGGGAAAAATCGTTGAGTAACTCGGGACCAAATGTCAACGAACGACGACTTTGAAAATGACATTTGGGATTACAAACCACTTAAGAAAAAGAAGAAACAAGAATCACTTCTTGTCCCCAAAACGGTGTCCAAGAGAAGATGCACAACCAGAGGAGCAAACCAGGGACACACTTCTTCCTCTGCTCTATCTCCTATAAATAAGACCAACTTTATTGCAAAATCAAGCGTAAAATCTGAACCAGTGCCTGTTTTAATAAAAGGAGAAAACGACTTTTTAGATACATCGAATGCACAGTTAAATATTTCAAGTAATGAAACTGTTTACAATGGCAATAACAATGGCGAGGAGGAATCAGCTGGAGACTACTGTCCTGTGTGTCAGATGCCATTTTCCATTCTGGTGGTGCAGTCTCAGAGATGGCATGTTGTTGACTGTCTTGACTTCTGCAGGAAGTCATGTAAAGGTAAATATCATTTATAATTTGCAAATCGGAGAATATTTACACAATGTTAACTACTTTATAATTGGTGGTATTTGTGGTAGCTCTATACTGAAACCAGCCTGCAAATTAGCTGACAGCTATATGCTTTGTCAGTGTCTGGGCTGTATTTGGAACTTAGAAATCAGATCTCACAGATTTTTATATATTTTATGTTGTTTAGCACATTTTATTTATGTCCAAGGGCAATTTCTTTTGACATTGCCAAGATCACTATCAATGTAGGAAAAAACTATAAACAATAATACATTCTTCATAGTATAATAATATAATATAATGATCTTAGTTTATTTCATCATATTTAATGGTTCTTTGCCCATGATTACCGGTAATTATGTTTATGATTAATTAAGTACTATTACTCTACATACATTGTTTTAACCTTTTTTTTTTTCTAAATGTATTTGCAGAGTGCCCCGAAGGCCTCCTGTGCTCCTCTACCTTTCCAAACCACTATAGAAACTTTAACCACACTCTTCTTGCACAAAGTCGAGCCAGTGAAGATCTGGTTCTGCATCAGACAACCCCAAGAGACACTAATCTAATTGGACCCGCAATTACAAAACACGGCAACCACAGTGGACCTGTAAATAATCATGTGGACCAAGTGGATTGTTCCGCTTTGAAGACTTCACAAGACAATGTCCCCATACACTCTTTGCCTTCTTCCCCTATTAATAATAACCAAACTAAATCACCCAATATTCCCAATGGCCTCCTCCTACTGCGCTCACCTGCACCTCAAGATTTAAAGAAAAAGAAAGGCTGGTCCTCTCCTAAAGTCCCAAAATCTGTCAGCTCTGGCCAAGAAAGTAAAGCAGAGACACCTGTCAAAAAAGTCAGTGATATTCAAGCTTGTACTATTATTCTTAAAAGTGCACCTTCACCTTTGGAAAGTGATGATGCAATATCCTACTCCCCTCTTTCCGAGCTCCCAGCAGAGGTTGAAACTAATCAGGCTGGTCCTAGAAAAACACTTTTTGATAGTGACCCAGGTGGTAAAGAGAATGAAGACTCTTTTGTACCACTTAATGATAGCGAAGATGATGATTTATTTGCTGAATTACTGGACAGTTTGGATAAAGAGGAGGCAACAGTATCTTCTTCATTTAACACCCAGGTGTTTTCAGTTACCTCATTACAGCAAACCAATCAGGAGACTCTAAACAATGCAACTTACAAATGTGAAAAGGAAAAGCCCGGATCATCCACCAGTGTTGGCTCTAGTGAAAACAGCATTCAGTCACCACAGAGTATTGTCCTGGAGCGTTTGAGGGACACCATTTTAAACACAGAAAAGCCATTTTGTGAAGGCGTTAGTATTCAGTCAGCTAAGACAAATTCAGAAATGCCTTTATCTGAAAAAATTACAGTACAGAAGACCCAAAGCAAACAAGCTCAACCTGCCATCTTAAAACAAACTGATATTGGAGTGTTTTTTGGACTTAAACCACTCAAGGACAAAGAGACAAGACATCCAGCTCAAGAACCACAACCCTTCTTAACTGAAGAGGAGAAGAAAGGAGCAAAACCACAAAAGAAAACCAGGCAAAAGATGAGTCAGGCCACAACATCCGCAGGGAGTTCACAAAGCACAGTGGCTACAGTAGAAAGTAGCACTGGAGGAGAAGCTAAAAGAGCTGGGACCAAAGGGTGGAGAAGGAGGACCAATGCAGCAGCAGGGGATGGAAATTACCCACGTTGTCCATTTTATAAGAAGATTCCCGGTAAGAAAGATGCCATTTTAAAGTTGATGAAAGTTATATATGACAAATCAAGTCTAAATTCATTCAGTCATCTTCAAGACACTTAGGCCATCACTGTTATGTAAGTGTGCTTGAAATATTAGCGTGCAAGTCTATATCAAACTACTAGTGGAAAGAAAATATCCGGAAATATTGTAGTAGTAAAAATGCAGTTTTTGTATTTATATTTCTTTTACCTAGGAACAAAGTTTGTTGTAGACGCCTTCCGGTACGGGCCCGTAGAGGGGATCACCACCTATTTCCTAACACATTTCCACTCGGACCATTACGACGGACTAAATAAAAACTCAACACTTCCCATCTACTGTAATAAAGTAAGTCATGACTTTCTTTACTGAAATGTATCAACAGCTTACTCAAAAGAAGAGGGAAACACTGGTCACTTAATAAATACTTTAATAAATGCATGCCACAATGGAAATATATGTTCAGTGGGGTACTGTGCTTTGACCCATTTCATTTTCAACCAAAGCCTTAGGGTATTGTCGTTGATAATAATAGTCTTTTGATAACGTAGCTTTTCTTTTCCTTGAAGAAATGCATTTCCAACTGTCATTCAAAATACCAACTGTTCGGCTCATTAATTCCTCCTCACTGCTGTGGCTCCAAGTAATGAAAATGTAAATGCATGGCAGGAATAATTAACATTGTTTATATTTGGTCATGGTGCATCATATGTCTTTGTTTTCAGTAATGTTGAGTGTAGGTTCATATACATACATTCATAGATGGTCAGGTCTACATTTTATAGGTTTGTCAACAAAGTTCCTGAAGAAGAGAGAGAGTTGTCTTCTGAGACTTAAAATGGACATTTGGGTCACTGCTTGGTAGGTTAGTGAAAATTGACTTTGGTGCTAGGTAGGCCATAGCCCAGATAAAGTTTGGTCAGACACATCAAGCAATATGTGTCACATACAAAGATAGACTTTCTGCTCTAATAGATAACTATGACAAGATGGCAATGACACAGTTAAACATTAATGCTTTTCTTTCCAGATAACAGGGAACCTGGTGAAAAGCAAACTGAGGGTCCCAGAGCAGTATGTGCACATACTACCAATGAACACAGAGGTCACTGTGGAGGGAGTCAAGGTCATTATGTTGGACGCAAACCAGTAAGCTCTCTGTCCTCATACAGCTGCCAGTATATTTTCAGTTTATCCTACCTGTGATCACATTCTTCTTTTCCCATGTCACTAATTTGTGAAATCATCTGTACCTCTTGTGTAGTTGTCCAGGAGCTGCGATGCTGCTTTTCATTCTACCTGATGGGCAGACAGTGCTTCACACTGGAGATTTCAGAGCCGACTCATCAATGGAATCCTACCCTGAGCTATTGAGCTGCAGGGTCCAGACACTCTACCTGGATACAACGTTAGTAATGTCTTAACTTCATGTTTATTGTACATTTGTTATTATAGAAGTATTTAAATTATATATCACAGTAGCAAATTAATTAATCAATCTCATCATATTGTTCAATGTATCTCAACAGAGTAATCATAGTGTTTTTAACCTAAATTTTCATATTTATTTCAACAGATATTGCAGCCCAGAGTACACTTTCCCAAAACAACATGAGGTCATTAACTATGCAGCCAACAGGGCCTTTGAGTTGGTGACACTTAACCCACGCACCCTGGTGGTGTGTGGCTCTTACTCTGTGGGGAAGGAGAAGGTCTTCCTGGGTAAGTTTTTCGATTCACGACATCTGTGCATAATATTTCCAAACTAATAATTACGCTACAAGTTTATCCTATTACCTGGGGAAAATTAGATCAGCCAGCGATGGTCCTTAGGGGTTGCCTTTGCTATTATGACAGTGACTAATTTTAGCCAAAATAAATTAAATGTAGCAGTCTTCTCGATAATTAGGCAGTCGATGAGAAGTGGCATGTTTGGATAGCTAATTGTGTTAGTGAAAATGGCATGGTAATTTATGCATTTAATCTGTTGAGCAAGAACAAGAATCTGTCAATAATTCAGGGGTATGGTGCAGAGAATAAATCTGAAAGAAAGGTCCTAACTTCTCTAAATCAAGGCTAATGCAATTATACATTATATTATAACTGTGTGCTTGAAAGCGGTAGCCGCACAAGTCAGTTATAGTCTTTGAGGCAGACCTTATAATTGTGCAAAAATACCAAAATGAATAAAGTCCAAATCAGCTTGGAAATGTCTGTCAAGCCTTTAGTCCTGTCTTCCAATGTTAATAAAACAGGTATTTAGATATGGAATAAAACTCAAGCTCCTGCTCAAGGTAATGCTTTTCAGTTGATCTATAATATGCACTGTACTCTCACAATATTGTGTTTGTTGCTTTTAGCTCTTGCAGATGTCCTGGGATCTAAAGTATGCCTCTCAAGGGACAAGTTCAACACCATGTGCTGTCTGGAGTCAGAGGAAGTTAAACGAAGAATAACCACAGACTGGAAATCAGCTCAGGTCCATGTATTGCCTATGATGCAACTGTCCATCAAGGTAGGCGAACAGAGGATGAAGCAAAACTTCATACATATCAAATGTGTATTGCACTGCACTGCTTGCACCTGCTTGTCTTCATGACCTAATGTCCCACAGTATAGTACCTGTAACTTTCCATAGACACAGAAGGGTCACTTGTGAATAAAAACAGGCACTGGTCTAAAGCTACACCTTGCAAATATGATTAATAATTCTTAAACGTAAACCACAATACATTATTAGCATTCTGAAAACTGAAAGTTACATATAAACTGTACTCATTCAGCTGCTGTGTTTATAGAAACTGCAAGATCATTTAGCTCGCTTCTCAACCAAATATGACAAGCTGGTGGCCTTCAAACCCACTGGATGGACGTTCAGCCAGCAGGTGGAGTCCGTGGAGGACATTAAACCCCATATTAGCGGCAACATCTCTATATATGGTGAGTTACGGTTCTTCTCTCACATTAGAAAACCTGAAAAAGACATGTTTAAAAACAAATCAACAGGGCCAGAGCACCTCTAAAACTGCACTGTTCGCGGGGTGATCCAATGGGCATCAAAAATGTATGCAAGTGGGAAGTAACGCTGAACAATAACAAAATACACAGTTCTTAAATTCTATACATGGACATGATTTTGCATCAAAGAAATGGGAAAACATCTGAACCCATAGACCCTTTTAAAATCCTATGTCATCATAATGATAAAATTCTGGAATGAAGGCAACTGGAGGCAAAGTGAAGCAGACAGAGTATATGTTCAATGATTAATTGATTTTACATACATACACAACATTGTGATGAAAATAACCTGCAATTTAGAATTTCCAAGGTACAAATATTAGTTAATTTGCTTTGCTGTTAAGAAATATGGAGAAATACAATTTTCTAACCTCAAAATTGTATTTGAGCTTCACAAAAATTATAATTTATTATGAAAAGTATAATGTATCTATAGAGGAAGTGGCAAACTATTGTGGGCTCAACATGTCTGCAAGGATTTGTTCAGTAAAACCAAAATTTTTTCTATTTATGTATTCAAATGTCTTCTAAAATTAACAAATAGCTTAAAACACAATTGTAAATGTTTTTTTTTTAAGTGGGCTCTGATATCACTCACATGTATCTGAGTGGTTTTCGTTTGTCAAATTCTCCTGGATTTTTCATATTTGTGATATTCTGAGGTTAATCCCCGTTTTCCCATTGAAATCGCATTATGTTCAACTTCATTTTTGCCTACATTTCAGAATTTAGAATGTTTTTATTAAAATTTTTAAAGGGTCTATAGCAGCCCCTTTAGGACACACAATGTATTTAACTTTAAGATGAAATGAGACTGTCCTTAGAGCCCTTCTGTTAAATTAGCAGAAAAGTGGCGTTCCATCAGCAGCCATCTGGTCATAAACATTATCTGCGTTGGTCATGCGTGTACAAGCATATCATTTTCTAATGTGAACATGCCTCTGGGTATTCACTCCTTTTTACTTTATCATTGTAAATTCAAGCCATATGTTGCAGTTGTCTTTCTCTGTCTGTAATTTTGCAGCAACAACAAAGACTGAAATTAAGATAAGGCTGTTTCTTGACCAAATTTCTTGACTACATACTATGAATTTAATAATCATGCAACTGTAAAAACATCAAATTGCTTACTGATTGCTACTAAATGTGTATTTGTCTGAACAGGGATCCCATATAGTGAGCACAGCAGTTTTCTGGAGTTGAAGCGCTTCGTGCAGTGGTTGAGGCCATTAAAGATCATTCCCACAGTGAACAATGGGCGCTGGGAGACCAGGAAGGCCATGGAGAGGTGTTTCAGTGAATGGATGGGGGAATCGGGAATGGCTAAACTCTGATAAACACTTTTATACTTCTTAATAAACTGTATTCAGGAGTTTCAGGCGAATGATTCCTTCCTAATTTTAAGGATTTTGTGAAGACCTTTCCCCATTCTAAAGATATATTTCGATTTCAAGCGCGTGGTTGCTATAACCATGGAGGACCATTGTCATGCCAAATTCTCCGAAACAGGAAGGAATACTTATGCCTGAAACTCATAAAGTTGAGTTGAAACATCATATCGTGAGAAGTAATAGTACAATAATGTGTATTACTATTCACTTTTATTGTTTTATGGTACTTGCATAATATATTCATCAGCATTCATTTCAGATATTCTGAAATTAGAATGTATTCCACATTTCTGTTTACAACTGTAAAATGGTCTGTTTTCATAATAACTTTTATTGCTGAAGAAAATAAATGTTTTAATATTCAACATATGTGTATTGTAAGCAGCATTTTTCACAATTACCTGTTCAAAGGCTTGTATTATGTACCAGACCCACAACAAGAAATTCTTATTCTCAATTACACATACTTTGGTCAAAAATCAGTTTTTTGTAGGGAGGCAACACTCAGGTTTTATATCCCCCATCTGTCTCAAAACTCTGATTTGGAGCCTGAATGAAGAAGCATTCTGCAAATGTACATGCACAGTGTTGTATATAGTTAGTGAAATATTTAAATATTATTAAAGCACATATTTACAAATGAGTAGCACTGACTGTACAGGGAAAAAGAAAAATATACTTACTACAGTTTCAGTTGATAGTGGACACTGTACACTAGCTTGTTCAGGTGTTATCGAATATCGGATCTGTTCATTATTTAATAAATACTTTTTTTTTTTTTACTACATATTTCATTTTATGCATTAGTCACAGATGGTCCCATAAAGTTACCAAAATAGCTGGTACCACACTACGCTGCTAAGGATAAATAATTTGTAATATATGTTGATGCTGTAAAATACAGGAAGTATACTGTATAATTACAGCAATTCTGAGTTTTCTCAAAGACATGTGAAGGCGTCACTTGTCCATCATGACAGATTTCACAAGTGTAACAACTGAACAAACTGGATTCTAATCAGCTGCTGACGTCTTTGGCAGTGCTGCTGTAACTGCTCTTCATTATAACTCTCTAATCAGATGTGAACCTGAATAAAGGGACTATAATGTGACAAAAAACCATTGTTACAGGAATCATTTTTTTTTTTTTTTTTTTTCAGTTTGATTCATTGTGTAGGAAAGCTGACACAGACTTGAAATAAATAGCTTTAGCATTAACTACACAAGACTTTCTGACTGAGTGTGTGGTTGCCTTTTTGAGGCAAAAGCACATTTTATCACCCAAGAATGTAGTTACTGGTTGGTTCTGGTTCATTGTTGCAGAGGCAGTTGGGAGAGTGGAGCACCTGGCCACCAGGCAGACGCAGGATGGTGAGTTTCACCTGTGGTAACACAAGAACATAATCTCATCTCAGCAAGATATACATTTACATACTTTATATAGGGTATGACTTGAGATGGTACCTCATTCTTGAGCGATTTATTGATCAACATGGTGTACTCCTGGATGTTGCTGATGTGTAAGTCGTTTAAAGCCAAAATCTGGTCCCCTTTAAGGAACAGGCATGCAGGCTGGCCCGTCCAGCTGGACACACTGTGACACACGTCTTTCAATTATTTTTATTGACAGCCATCAGAGCAGAGATTCAGCTGTAGCCATAATTATAAGATGATCACTGTTGTCACCACATCTCTGTTTCTTAGCAACAAAACTTTTGTAAAAGTAACTTCATGTATTTGATTATGTCAGCTTTGATTTATGTCTTCAATCAGCTGTGCATTCATGTGTTCTAATGAAATCCAAAGAAACACACACACACACCTGGGCTTGTCGTCCACCTCTGTTAGTTTCAGATGCTTCTTCAGATCAGCCTGTTTAACGTCTATATCCCTTTCGTGTGGGCTGATGGGCTCAAGGCTTCCAGGTGCAGGGTGGAAATACAGAAAGTTAGTTCAGTCTTTAGGGAATATTGAGACTATAAAAAATAGAACACTGGTTTGTGAAGAAAATGTGCTGCAACAATATACAACAAACAAATGAAAACTAAGCAGGTTTTACTTTGTTTGGTCAAAACAAATCTGAAGTGATTCTCAAAATATTAAATGCTGGATAGAAAGTTAAGTTTTTTCTTTTCTCACTAATATTACGTGAGGTCTGTAAGGGCTCATAAACCAGTCTGCCCAGTCCAGGGATATGTCAGCATGGTTTCTACATTCCTAATTGATGATTGATATTAGTGACTCATGACCATTACAAAGCAGATTTGAGTCTTGATAAGGGAAACATCGATGGTCTTGTAGGTAGAACATGTTTTTCTTGTTTGTAGTTATTGTATATTTTTGCATTTTATAATTGTGATTATGATTCCCTTCAAGGTTCACATTTAAAATGAAGAATATGTTGGTACAGATTTTAAACTACAAAGTTTGACATTTCTAAGAATATTTTTTTACAATGGTGGAAATTGCGGTGCTTAAAAAATTGCTTTGCAGTTTGCTAATAGCGTCCATTCATATTGTGATTTGACTTAATCAGCCCTAAATATTAGCTAATAATGACTAGAAATCAAATGTACAGATCTTACCATTCTGTAGAGCTTTGTCTCCTTGGTTTCTCCAACATTTTCACTGGCGACATAGCACCTGGCGACACTGCACCTGGCGACACTGCACCTGGAGACATTGCACCTGGCGACATTGCACCTGGTGACAGGGCCTCTGGCGACATGGCTCCATTGTCACTGGAGCTGGTGCTACAGTCTGATAATGGTCGTGTGTGCTCCCTGAAACGATGTAAGACAGGAGTTACTGTACACTAGTACCAAATCAACCTTAAGTCTTTGCATGAAGACTGCTGATGGGGGCTGCAGTATTAGATGAGGTCCCCGTGATAATTTTAACTTGAGATATAGGTAAACGTGTGTTGAGGTTAGGGTTTAAGTTAGGCAAGTAGTAATCATGGCTGAAGGTCCTATATTACACAGAATTGACTCTGCAATAACTCTGTGATGATGTGAGCTTTTAACCATGTTAGAATGTTGTTACCTCCTCAAAAACATATCTGGATTGTGTTTTGTTTCATTCACACATCTGAGTAATCCGTTATTATTAGTTTGTCACTAATATATCTCCAAAGCTCAAAATGGTCTGTTCCACCTTGTGATGTCATGTAGTGGTAGTTTTCAAGTTAACAGCTACCCTTACGTTTAGTTCAGTAGAAATTGCCAATTTCAGGGCTGAAATGATTCTAGTGAAGGTATATAAAGTTTAAAAACACAGCGGAGCACTTCCTGTATTAGCATGTGACATCACAAGGTAGAACAGAGTGTTTTCTAGTTGAGAGAAGAACTCAGCTTAAATATGGATGGTTTGTGTGTTGTGTGAATGATCAGGAGGATATATGGAAGTCAATGTAATGCCCCCAAAAGGCCTGAAACACATATTGAGACTGATACAATATGACTCAATTCAGGCAATCAACAAGGATGGTTGTCATAATGTAACGCCCAGCTGGTGCACAATTGCCAATAACAGAGCTATTTATAAAGACTTTACCCACTCCAGTCATGAAATAAGATAAAAGTACCATCTGGACCTGTAGCCTGCTTCCAGGAGTGACATGAGCAGATAACACAACAAAAGCTTTGGCACAGTATGAGAGGCCTCTGATAGAGCGACGTCATTAGAGACTTCAAACACAAGGCTAACAAAGCAACACAGACACCCACGTTTTATATAAAAATCTGTCTGGGGACTTTCCTAAATATCTCACTAATGGGACATGAGAGAAGCAAATAAGTCCTAGATCACTCCAGATGGGAAGATGGATTGGATTTAAGAGCCACTTAAGAGAATAACAAAAGAAAAGCAGCTTTTGGGAGCCAAAACACAGCAGTGACCCCCTTTAACAAAACAGTGTTTCAGTCACTTAATGAGGAGATACTGTAAGGAAAAGGTGCACTTCTACTAACAATTACTAGCTTTTATTTAAGATATAAGCCATTACAAATATAGTACTGTAAGCAAGCTGCTGTACATGCTTGCACCTACCATATTAACTATATATGTGTGTATTGGGTGATATTGAAAAGACATTATCAGTAGTGAAGCTTTTTGACTGTACACAGTGAAAAACTTGTTGAACTGGCTCTGGCTGCTTCTCTGTCTTTAACTGGTCTTTATGTGTCAACAGTGAAATCTTTAGGAGTCAAACCATTGTTGTTGTGAACTCTGTCACATTCAAATAACCAAGGCTGTCATGATAAGTGAGGTTTATCGGTATCTAGGCCACTAAAGATACACATTGTACAGGCAGCAGGAATACCCACAGTATGTGTGACGTACCCGTCCTTATTTGCCTCCTCACAGAACGAAGGCAGTGGTGAAAACTGAGGCTTGAGCCTATCAGTCAGGCTGAACTTGGTCAAAGTGCCAGTAGCTTCTTCTACTTCTTTATCCCTATCAAGAGCAACCAGTAGGAACAGATGTGATTCATAGTTCACTAAATCTTATAGTAATTCAATCAAACTTACAGTGCCTGGGAGCCTTGATCGCCTTTCTTAATCTCCACCATATCCTCATAACTAAGTCAAATGCATGTAAAGGACATTACTGTTCACAATATATGTTACAAGGCACATACAAAACTACAATAAAACTCACAGTCCTTCTGCATTCGCTTCATTATTGTGGACCTTAGGAAAACAAAATTTTAAATTAGATTTCTTCACAAATTACAAATACCCAAAATGAATGTCATGATATTCTATGTTATTTTAATGAATTGTCATTTGCTTACTCTGAAAGGGTTAATGTAGGGCTTTGGATAGTCATACAGCGGATGCACAGGCTCTGATAATCGTCTCCCTCTGGGATCATCCATCTGTCATCAAATCACAGAAGCAAGTTACCTCCGATGTTTAATTAATTTATACAGTATATTTCTGTAGCTGATATAGGCATTATTATACGTTTATTTGTTGCACCTTTGATTTTTCAATCAAGTCTTCTTTTGTGAGCGAGGGTGGGTCAGACATGGAACGATACTTCATTGCATGCTAAAAAAAAATAAAAATTATTCATTCATTTATGTGAATATGAGTATTAGTTGAACATGAACAGTTTAGTTCAGTGTCCCTGGATTGTTATAAAACACATGCCGAAGAGCATAATGAACTGACCTGTTCATTCACAGGGGTTGTATTCTTTTTCCTCAATATGGGATTTGTAATAACCTGTTAAAACATGGATAGTATTCAAATGTATGGAGGCTACTTGTGTTCACCAGGGACACTGACAAAATAAGACTTATGTGATTTGTTTATTACTCATGAACATACCTCTATGAATTGCTGTCCATTTGATATTTCCTGATAACATAATTTAAGGTAATAGTAGTTAAGTTAAGTTAAGTTAAGTTGGTGCTCACTGATGAGTATTGGCTGTAAAAATATAACCTACGTCTGAACTGAGAAACTTGTGTGGTTTGTTCTTGAGGGCTTCATACATATCAGTGAACCAGCCGTCCACCTCTTCACTGACAACAAACAAAAAATAGGTCAGATGATGTTCTTTTCAGTCTTCTACATCATGTCTCATGTGTTTTATTAAAAATACTGTCCTCGGGGGAAAAAAGGGACTGGAAATAGTGACAATAGGAAACACAGAAATATATTTTAATCTCAACTGAACTGCAAAAGAGAAAGTGGCACAAAGGGGAGCTGGATGTCATCATGAATCATATTGCTTTATTTGAATCAAAGTCATACGAGTTTGGTTTACACATAAAGCTTAACTGAATCAATATTAACATTTCCAGTTGTGAGATTCTGCTGCTAAATGCCTATTGTCTCTAATTCCTGTGCAGTTTTATTGGCCTCACACTAGAGTAGGTCAGTGTTGTGCAAGTTCACACTTTTCATGAACTAGTTCAAAGTTCAGTTCACACTTGTTCAAAATGAATAGTTCACATTCATAGTTCACAATTTTAATTTTTAACTAGTTCAAAGTTCAGTTCATTTTATATTTAGGTGAGATCTGTAAATGAAAGGCTGCATTTATTTTAGAATAAACCAAGACTAAACCAGGACTGAACCAAAATTGAACCAGGTCTAAACCAGAACTGAACCAGGACTGAACCAGGTCTAAACCAGAACTGAACCAGGACTAAACCAGGTCTAAACCAGGAATAAACCAAGACTAAACCAGGTCTAAACCATTACTGAACCAGAACTGAACCAGGACTAAACCAGAACTAAACCAAGACTAAACCAGGACCAAACCAGGACTAATCCTGGACTAGAACTTGGAATCTAGGACCGCCCCTGAGAGAACCCCGAGTGCGATCGGGCATAAGCTGCGTTTAGTTCGGTGGAGCGCGGACTTCTGCGTCGGTCCTTTCGCTCAGGATCACGGTCTACGCGGGCGCACCTCCGGCGTTTCACCGCTGCTGATATCGCGGTGATTTTAGCAAATTTGTATGAAGAAAAACGAAAAACCCACCATTTCAATCCAGGTTAAAAAAGCATTGTGACGCGCGTTACTGACATATGTACCAAGTAAAATAATAAGCGCGCGGAGCAGCACGTCCTGTGCGTGTAGATTTCAGAAAATAGGATACATCCTATTTTTTGACGCTCTACACGAGTTTAGGCGCATATCCCCGTCAAAATACACAGAGAGCATGTATCTATTGTTGTATTTGTGCATTTACCATCAGCACATTGTGCTCCCTGGGCAGTTGTGTATCATGTGAAAGAGCTCAGATCCACATAGACTGTTAATTAGTGCTTTGAAATTAACTTTTGAAATCCTTGCGTTTGCCGTGGTCAGCCTGTACAGAAGGTAAATACAAGTAGCTAAACGCGCCCAGTCAAGTTTGATTGACTTCCCATTGGAGACACAAGAGCCCGTACGTTCCGCTAAAGCTGCCGGTGGAGTCGCCTTCGCGTTGACACGCGGCTGTGGTTTCGCGAGGTGAAGTGCGAGCAGATCGTCACTCGTCAAATTCCGACGTTTAACTGAACCCCAACAGTGATGTACGTCGTTCATCACACATAATTTGAACAAATTCACGTTCAAGTTCTTGATTTACAAAAGTGTTGCGTTCAGTTCAAAGTTCACTGAAAAATGAACGTGTTCAATGAACGCGTTCTTTTGAACTCGTTCATGCACAACACTAGAGTAGGTCTAGTTATCTTGCAGACTTGGCTTTAGTGCCAACTATAGCTATGAAGAATGCATTGGTGGCGGTGGATGGCTCTCTGCTCCTGGTGTAGACGGCTCCTCTGATGGTGCTTTCTCAACTGGTTCGCCTGTATTCAGCCTCACATTTTACTACATGTAGTTTTATTTATTTTAGCGTGAGTGTGTGTGTGTGTGTGTGTGTGCGTGTGTGTGTCTGGGTTGTTTGGTTGTGTGGAGTCGGGCAACTATGGGGTTGGGTTGGTGGGTGGGCGGAAGGAAATGTGGGATTGTTTTTAATCGCTGTAAAGCACTTTGTGTTAAATGTTTGTATGAAAAGCGCTTTATAAATAAAGTTTGATTGATTGATTGATTAGGTTTGGTTAAGATTTGAGGAGCACTCTTATTTTCCTGATGGGTGGATTTTATTTATAAAAGCACTATTACAACTACAACTCATGTGACGAAAGATACAGCTTTATATTGTCCCATATTTCAGGAAAATTTTATTATTTATCCTTACCTGTTTTCCCCAATTAAAAAGTAATCCCGATCTGCAGCTCGGAGGTAAAGCACAAGGGATGGGGAGCACTTGAAATTCTTTTGGACCCAGGGCCATTTTGAATGCGTTTGTGGACTCAAATTGAGAAGCGAAATTCTAGAATGGAAAAAATAAAATGTAATAAATAAAAAATATTTATAACTGAATGTATGCAAATAAGACATTGTTGTACTGTGATAGGTCAATTCCTCCAAGTGGCCGGTCCTTCTCTTCTGGACATCTGAAGTACTTGAGCTGGTAGTCACTTTCACTGATTTTAAATAAAATGAAATAGCGCTTCTTCCATGATTTCTGCACATAACAGAACGGCTGTAAATGTAAACCATGCAAGCTACATGTGTGCGATGTCTGAAGCCATCTTGGCAGTATTCACCTCAGTTTTTAGGCCTCTGGAAGGAGGAGACTTGAACAGATATCCAGCTCTGATTTCCTTGGCTTCTCCAACTGGTTTGTAGAACATGGCACCTTTGGCTGACATAATAAAAATCAGATCAAATATTCCTTGTTCCTATTCAGTTATAAGGAAGTAAAAAATATCTGTCATTTAAACAATGAGACATTGTTAGAAAATGAATCAACCAGAGAATATTACCAATGTTTTTATCTTTCTTACTCATTGTGCCACCACACCTGCAACAAAAATATGATTTAAGATGGGCATTAGTTCATAAAGTTCAGTGGACCATTGGAACAGAAAGCACATATTTCAAACAAGCTGCAATGTAAGCCTGAAACAACTAATTAAATTAATTATAACAATTGCTGTCTGACACAGATAGCAATACACAGACTCCAAATTACGTGCATCAAATACATTTTTTACTTGTAAATTTGGCATTTTTCATTAGAAAAAAAGAAGAATCACCTGATTAATAGATAACAAAATAATCTTTAATCCTGCAGCCAGAAGCACAGCCTCAACATAACTTTCTCTTTATTTTTCATTGTTGTATCTTAAAGTAGGCATGGTAACATTGTAATCTGTCATATAAATGTATAAATGTCATACAAAAAAGATTGTGCTTATGGAAAATGAATAGAATTGTTTAAATAGTGACACAATGACTAAATATTGTCCAGTAGATTTGTTTTATGTTATAATTCTACACTCTCACCTCTAAATGTGAGAAGAAAAGTCAACATTTCTGATTTACACGTGATTAAAATTAATCTAATAATGGTGTTTTCTCACCTGTGCAGCTCCTGTTTAGACTCCACTTTTTAATGCCTGAAAATAACTGCAGGTGTGTGAGGAAGTCTTCCTGAATCTGTAACAGGTAAATTCTTGGTGAGAACTGGAGTGACTGGTTCCTGCCTTCATTGTTTTGACGCTGTGATTGGGCCGCTCTTCTGTGTAACGCCACATGGGTTGCTTCACCTGTTCAACACAACACTTTAGTTTAGAAAATCTGAGGGGGAAACAAAAATAGACAAACTTAAATTACAAAGTTATATTTTTGTTTGTCCCTGTGACTGACAATCTTTGTAAAGTAGAGACAGAAATCATGTTGGCATTTTGATTTATAGCCCATACTCTGTGACTAGAGACAATGTTTTATGCTTCTTTTACAAGGGGCTTGATGAGTGATAGATCTATTCATCATGTGGTTGCAGAGCTTCTTAGGGTGCACAAGATTAAATTCCTAACTAATTTGAGTTGATGTCTCAGTGGGCGTCCAGTAATGTAGCCCTCCTAATGTGAAAGAACATGTTTGTAGTTTATGAGAGTTTCTAAATGATCTCCTAAATGGACATGTCAGTCTAAGTGCTCATATACTGTAGATGCAGAAGTATGTGTGTGCACTATGCTGATAAATCCATGTTTTAGACACAAGGAGACACTGAGTCTGGGGAGACCGTTTTGAAGGATGATTTTTCCGTTTGAGCTTTCACTCAAAGGCATGTCTTCACTGACCACTTCTAGAGGTTATGGACTTTTCAGGACATTTTGGAGGAACATTTTCTAAAAGCAATCTTGCTTTTGTGTCATGTCCAGGAGCATTGGTAACTTGTATGGTTATTGCATGTTTAAAACCTATAAAATAAAATGTAGTAGAAAGATAAATCACATTATAGGCTAAATGACTATAGCATATTGTTTGTTATCCTCAGTGGTTTTCCTCATGTGTGGAAGGACACAAGCAGATTCAACAGTTCAATAATACAGTAAGTCCCAATCATACCTAAATCTGTAAACATCCAATTTAATTAAAAGTACTGAACAAATTATTAGTCAACTACTGCTATAGCCATAATGCCGTATATTAAGCCTAGTACCTCATGTTCCATTAGCTTCCATTATCATCATTACATTTTCCAAAGACATTATGTCACATGTCAAATATTGCTCTGTGCATCAGAAACTGACTGAAACAATCTACTTTTGAATGTTCTGTTCTTTTGTTTCCTCTGGCTAAATGTACTTTTTACAGACAGACTTAAAAGCGAAGAATAATACCTGACTACTGCACTGTGTTTACCCACTGGTCTGGACATGTTCTCATAGGTGCACTGAAAGGTTGTTCAGAACATATTCCCACACTGACATGTTTCTGAAAATGGAAAAATGAAAGTACACTTGTCTTCTATATATCCTGAAGTCATGTGACCTATTCCATGATTCTTGAGTGAGATAAGAACATGGTCCTAACAATGTGAGCAGTGCAGCAGCAGTGAGTAGAGGGCCTATATCTGAGTTATAATACAGAATCCACTTTAGACAAAGAACAGTAAATTATAACTGACTGTACAGGCTCACACTGAGACTGCCCTCTACAGTCTGAAAGTGTCTTGTTCCCCTACAACCAGATCGAATCATACAGGCTCATTCAACTGTCAAAAATATTTCTCAATACTGAACCCAGAAATAGGTCTGGGTGCCTTTTAGAATGTCACATGTAGTAGGTCTATATTAGAAGAAAAGTTTGTAGTTAGAAAGAGATGTCTTCCTTGAAAGTATTAGAACAAATGACCTCTTACTTTATGAAACAAGGGACTTCTTTTGTCTTAGGTTTTATTTATTGCATATGAACCATTTTGTGTGTAACAATATACAAACAGATTAATTACAGAATAAATCAATTTCATTACAACAGTATTAACATGCCCTAGGAAAAAATGGGCTAATTTATTGGAAGTATTTCATACATCACTTTTCAAGTCATTAAAATATATTCCTGAGGACAAAAGCATCCAACACCAAAAAGCATTCCAAAGTTACCTCCCAAAGTCAAATTACCCTCTTTCAAACCATTCCAAAAAGTGATTAAAAAAACGTATTTTTTTTCCAGCACAGGGCGTGCACCACATCATTTAGAGCCACGTGTCGAGAGGATGCAGAAGTGCATGAGTAAAATAGAAATATAAAATGACTTTAAAATAAAAGAGTGAATGACTAAACATTAAACAGCTGTTGATAAAACATGCAATAATTGAGTGTAGAAACCTCTTGGACAGTGAGATTGTATTATGGTTTTGGTTTGACTTCACCACAGAATAGCTGCCTGAGTCGGACAGACAAGACAGAGACAGAACACTTTGTAGATGTAGCATCGATAGAGGAGGAACACCAGTTTCTTGATATTGCTTGATAAAGATTCTAGATCTAACTTTTTATGTTAATACAAAGTACAACACTAATATACAACTTGTGCTTTAAAGCCTCTTCAGCTCTATGCTGGATAGATATGACACACTTAGAACGATCTCAAGTTCTCTTAAAGGGTAAAAATCTACAAAAAATATTTTTTGGCAAAAGTTATCACATGCATATTTGTGTGAACACAAATATCCAATTACTATCACTATAATGCATACAAAGTATCCACATATGGAACCTGAGGATGCCAACACAGTGAATACATGATAATGTTATCCAAAACAGCAAAGGATCTGATCCATTTTCCAAATACATTTCTTTCTACAGTGCATGAGTATATTTTATTACTACAATAATCATTGCAGAAGCTCTTAGTTAGGTGGTATTTTTTTCTTTCTTATAAATGGGATTGATTAAAAATACACAAGTCTGTGTAGTGCTGGTCAAGTGTCTTCTGCAGACATACAAGGAAAATGGATGGATTCATTTTCATGTATATTATTCCAAACCCAGAAGATCTGGCAGTGATATTTCTGGGTTAGGATAGCAACACTGATATCTGACAATGGCTGTCACAAGATCAGAGTGTGTGGCACGGTAGAGTATCGTCTGAAGCAGATGTGAATGTCACCACATGAAGTGCCACTGTAGAGTTTTCTTTTTTTGTTAAGTGCTTTTTGGGGACCAAGTTCACACAAAAATGGTCAATAGTGCGAAGTTCTGCTGGGCCCGAATGCTCTGACCACTTAGTTAGTCCATGCGTCGTCTATGGGCTGGGCCAAAGATCAGTTAAAATACAGTTCTTTGGTCAGCATGGAGACCACACAAGGGATTTGCTTCTTCTCACTGAAGCGTGGGTCTTCAGACCAGGACTCAAAGCTGGTAGCCACCATGTAGTTAACTCGAGTGAGGATCTGCATGATCTCCAGCTGCTTCCCAAATTCATTCAGGACATTACAGAGAGCCTGAACAAACCAGGAGCCCCGCCCAGGGTTCCTCCATGAGTAGTATCCTAAAAATCATTACAATCAAGCTTATATTAAAAATACATAAACATACAGTGCATTGATTTATAGTACTGTACCTGGCACTGTGGAGTATGCAAAGAGAAAGTCAGCTTCAACTGGGATCTTATGTCTGGGGTTGGCATCGGTCTCCAGGGGGTCATTGGGCGGACCTGAGTCAGTTTGAATGCCATCATCAAACTCGGATCCCCGACAAGCCTGGTGAAGTAAATGAAATGACATTTCATTGTGATCCTGAGTAGCTTTCTCAACGATGACCTGGTGAAGCAATTAGAACTACTTTTAAAAGCTGAGATGATAAACAATAATTATGTGTTTTGTGCTTGACTAGTAAGTCCATGAACTGTATAACCTCAATGCTATATGTGTGGGAAGAAGTCTGAATTGCAACTCTTTGCCTTTTACAGAGAACCTTTAGAGAAAGCTTCTAAAATCCTCTCACCTGAATGAAGAAGAGCTTGGGTTTCCCGACTAAGCTTTTGCACATGTCCCCCCTGAACAGTGAGGTCATGGTCTTAATGGGCATGGCTCCGTCTGTCCCATAGATCATGCCCTCCTCGCCATGGCTCAGCAGGATACAGGCGAAACAAGAGCTGTCGCTATGGTCTTCTTCTGAGGCTGACCCACACACAAGACAGAACTGTATTCTTAGCTTGGTCTCCAACAAATTCTATAGACCTCTACATTTTAAGTGGTAGCAATGTAACTTATTAAAATATATTTTTAAAATATATATATGTTTTATTCATAAAACTAAATGAACTCACAGCTGTAGGTGATTCTAGATTGTCAAGTACTGTAGTTCTGCTACATGAATCCTGAAATACTCATTTAAAGCTGCCAATTATGCAAATTATGCATGTACTCATGAACAGGTGGCCCATATTACCATTAGCACAAGGTTACATAGACAAGCACAGTTTGCGTGTATAGCTCACATTTGGAGGGATTTGGCTAAACTATGATAAGAGCAGAAATTGTCTCTATAAATGTTAGAAGCCACGTACTTCCAAGGCATCTGATTTATAAAAACACTGACTGAAGGTTTTAGATCACGTAACATCTCTGTTTCTTGGACTGAATATTGTACCATGAAATGGATATCTCACTTACCTTCTCTAAGGAGACGCTCCATCTTCTCACATGTCTGATCATTGTAGATGAAGACTTCAAAGCCCAGGTTCTTGAAGCATTTGAACAGCTCCCCTGCATCACGATCCGTGCCATTGCGTACATTCATCCCTATGGAGAAGATTAAATACTATGTTTTCAAAATCTAAAATATGATATACTTAGTAGTACAAGCACTGCCGTACCTGTCTTTTCATCAAAGTTTTTGTTGTTGATGATGATGCACTTGCCCACGCGCTGGTGGCTCATCTTATACTGGAATGTAGGTGAAACAATTCTGTAATGGCTTTCAGAATTATGGTCCTGCTCCCGCATCTGGCCATCCTTATTTTTCTTACTAGAAAAAGCCACAAACAGAAATACACATCATAAAATTACAATAGAGGTCATAAAATAACTAGATAAAATTGTCCCCAGGAGAAATATCACTATTTTAGAAAAGACAGAAATAATTTCTTTTAATTTCATATATACTCAAAGTTACACATTCAAATTAACAGGAC